CAATACTGGAGGTCGAAAGTCAACGCTTACTAGCTTTTGACTTTCGACTCCAGACCTGGCTTTCCCTGCTGCGCTACGCAACCTGCTCTCAACAGAAGGATCGCGTCGACGTCTGGACGCCTATCAATGGGAAGGAATGGCCTGTACCCATCCCAAAAGATGCCAGCCTTGACCAAATCCGCATCGAGATGCTGAATCTTGGTGAGCAGTATGTGTGGTTGGATGTCCTCTGTTTGAGACAGGAGGGCGGGCCAAGGGAAGACCTGCGCGCCAAAGAGTGGAAGGTCGATGTGCCCACTATCGGATTCGTGTATGCGAACGCCAAAGTCGCGATCTACCTGAGTGGGCTGGGGCGGCCTTTTACTTTGAACGACGGCGACTTGGACAGTGATCGCTGTTGGTTTAGACGTGCGTGGACACTACAGGAGATTGGCGAGGAGAGGATCATTGTCGGGGATACACCTGACGGACCGCTGCATGCGAGACCAATAGACAAGGATGGGAACTATGATACTGAGATACTGACAAGATTTCACAAGCAGCTGCGGTCCATCAGCGCTGTCTATCATCTAAGTCTGGGGCTGTCACTCTCACCCGCAATGTTTGGGGTCCTGTCAGAAATGCAGAACCGGGTGTCGACCAATCCTGTGGACAAAATTGGGGGACTGGCACTCCCTTTGCTGCCCAAGATGATACCTGCATACCAAGAGAGAGAATCTCTCGAAGATGCATGGACGGCATTGGTGAATGCAATGTCTGTGGGGAATCGGGGCGAGTTGTTCTTCTGGTATCCTGAACCGGGAGATACGGGCACAAAGTGGAGACCGTCATGGGACCAGGTCATGAAGAATCCTCTGCCTGTGGACGACTACTCCTTTATGACAGTTGATTTGGATGGGGAGACAAATGATAGCTGGTATGACGGGTCCTGCATCGAAAAGGTATCTGTGCGAGGTTTGGCTGTGGGAGGCGTGGAAGAAGTTGATCGACGTGGCGAGTTGATCATCAAAGACGCCAATGGAGCAGAACATACATTCGACATCATGGCACGCCACAAGTTCCCAATATCTGAAGACATCTACACATTGCTTGGTACAGATCCAGAGGCTCTCCGACGTTATGGACAGATTCAGAAGCAATATTGGATCGTCGGGCGAAGACTGTCTGACGAAAAGTTTGAGAAAGTGTCCGTGTTTGAAATGGTCAAAGAAGAAGCACGGAGGCTGGCGCGTCTGCGCATTACTAAAGAGCGTCGGAACATTCTGATTTGAGGTAAGCACATATTTTGTGGCCATTCTAGATTAGTACCATTTCTCACCTCGAGTACACATCAGGCCATTCATAGTTCACTGCACATATATGATGGTACATCCTATCCATTAAGATACTCACAAATGAAATATAATTAGCATTCTCCACCGTATGCATGCTTTTGCTGCGTACCAATGAAAACCGATTTCATTACTCTTCCTGCTCTTGCTAACTGATACGCAGAAACGGCATATTTGCGTTATGAATGGAGAGGAGGTGTATAGAAATTGATGATGATGGTCAGAAGCCAAGCTTGATGGTGTTGATTCCTACCACCAGAAGAGAAACTCTCCCCCATCATTTGTTGGAGCTTCGTTCATCATGGTCCATTGTCAACCACTGTCTATGACCAGGTCAATGACTCCAAGGAATTTGGTAAAATCAGGACACTTTTGACAGGGATTGTTGTCGCCTGGTCGAAATGGGACTGGGTACTTGCAGCAGACACAAGACAAGCATCGTGGCCTTGACAACTGACCAGTACTTCACCTGCTCAATTGCAGGTAGTAGCGACGCACTTGGTTTCTCCTGCTCTCCTCGGAAATTAAAACGACGGACACAAGCCCGGAAGGAGCCAGCCTCTACCAATGGAAAGATTACGCCAAATTGAGACGGAGCGACTCAGAATTTGGGATTTGTATGAGCCGACTTTGGAATCTTCCCGGATTTTCTGCTTCACAAGTTAAAACTCTGGCTGCACTCAGGGACGACACACTATGTCAACGTTTGTATTGTTCCCTTCTTGGTCCATTTCTGACTAGGATAAAAGGTGTAGCCTTCATTTGTAGGGGATTCGATGGTATGTCGCGCAGCTCAAACTATTTTAGTTTTCCCGCGCGACTCTGAACAGGCCTCACAAGTACTTACCACTGCGATCCCTGCAGATTGAGATCGGCAAGGCTGCTCGTACCTACACGAGAAAGCTTCGCCTCGCCACTGCCCTCCTATTTGTCATCATACAAGTCTCGTGTACCCCAAGGCAGAACAGACTTGTGTCCAAAGTAAGAAGATGGCTCTGCCGGCCCTTAGCAGGGAACATTTGTGTCAAATACGGTACGATATGCTCTTTGCACAGTTTCGGTGATTGCATTGTCGGACGAAGAAGGTGCAATGACGGCGACGGTGAACAAGGGGGGGCGGGGGTACTAGCATCAAGGTCACATATCACTAACACCAGCGGGAGAGGGACCGACGCGCAAGGTGTTTTCGCCTGTTGTCATTGTATCAGGGATGAAGGTCTCCGAGTCGGCAATTGCCTTTCGACCTAACGTCGATCGAGTGTAGGTACGTTTCAGGAGCTGAAAGAACGTGAGTCAGTATGAATGATCGAGGGGCCAACTTTGTACGCGCCAATAGCTCGTTGCAGTAGGAAAGAAGGAAGGGTCGATGTTGCTGAGACGCAAGGCCAGTACGTACGTCCTTATTGAGCGCCTGGTCAATCAGCTTCGGGCGGTGGAGTTCCTGAAAGGAAGAAAAAAAACATCACTTTGGCAGCTTTGCGCGCGAGTATACCGTAAGCAGAACGCAGATGTATACCGACTGAGATGGGATTAAACCTACGTTGAAGTCGCTGTTGGAAAGGTAACCAGGCGCACCGAGGAAATGAATCTACTTCCATCGATTCCGTCCGTTAGACTGTCGTCCGAGCCTGAGGTGAGGTTTTCGTTGTCCCGGCAGTCGCGATCCGCTTCATGGTCGTTTCGCGTCTGCAATGTCCACTCCTTTGCGAGCATCCGAGTCCAGGATCATTTTTCTCTCTGCGACCAAAAGTTCCTCGTGGGTCAAGAGAGCGATTCTTTGGCATTTATGTTCGAGGATAGTCTGCAGTACAAGCACACAAATCTGATGGAGCAAAAAAGAAAGTCCTCGTTCAATGCAAATATAGTATAGAGTCAATAAATAAATAATACGATGCAATTAGAATATTGCTCTAACCAGGCCACCGCCGATAGCAGCACCAGCACCGAATCCTACACCTCCAGCTGCAGAGTGGGCCATCTAGACAACACATAAGAAAATCCCGACCCCTAAAATGAAAGACCCAACGCACCGTATTACCGTACTTGCCAAACTTGCTCTTCTTCCCATCCTGACCCGCGTCCTGCTGAAGACCAACGGAGTTCGTACCTGCCCCAGGAGGCGGAGGCGCGTTGGCGCTCGAATAAGCAGCCATGAACGGCTTGTACTCTTTCTTCTCTGTGGGAGCCGGAGGTACGGAGCGAACACCGGTGGGTGGGGTGAACGCAGGAGGTAGGGTCCGGGGAGCAGGCGCAGGCGCAGGCGTAGGTGCTGGTGCGATCTTCTCGACGTAGTTAGCTGGGAAGAGAGCCCTACGGCCGCCATACTCCCCGAGCCACCAGTCGGCGTTGGTCTCTTCGACGATGGTGATGATGTCCCCAGCTGCGAATGAGAGGTCGTCGCGGTCAGAGGTGTCGAGGTTGTATGCCCACAAAGCTTTGGCTTGGACGACCGCTGGTGCTGGTGCTGGTGGGGGCAGGGAGGGCGACCTAAAGGGGGTCGAGCGAACAGGCGCCGGTGTCGAGGCCGTCGTTGATTGGAGAGAGGATAGTTTTCTCTGCAGACCGGCAGTCTCTCCGTGAGTGACGTACCCGTTGGCGACGAGGAAATCAACGTTGGAGGCCGTCTGCGAGACGATGTGAATGAGGAGCGTCGTCTCCATCGTCGTCGTCGTGGTGAAAGAGCAGGGAAGGGCAGTGAACGTTTTATTATTTCCCACCGGCTAACTCTAGCTGTAAATCATACAATCTAATTGAATGCCGAGGGAACTTAAATCTTTAAAAGATATGAAATCTCGAACTACAACCTAGCTCTCCTAGAAAAAAAAAAAGGGTGTTTTCTATCAGCTGCTCTTTGCTATACCACGACAAACCAAATTCACATGAACTCACTCATTCACACCAAAAGAAAGCATAGAACAGTGCAATGAATTGGGGTAGAGAAAAAATACAGCGTCGCAAGTCCATATACGCGACATTCTCTACCGTCCAATACGGAACCCAATACTGACCATCCTAAGGACTCAGTGAGCATCAAATTCACGAACCACGAGTGAAGAACGTACCGTAGCATGTACGAACATCCATACTGTAAAATAGCTGTCGAGATCATTCAATCACTCGCTACACAAACATCCATCAGACCAATCAAGCAAAACCCAACACGGCGTGTCCTCACAGGAGGGAAAGCGTGATATCACCATTGACCTTGGCCTGGATGGCGATCTCCACCTCCAAGTTCAGGTCCAAGCGCAGCTTCAGAGCCTCCTTTTGCTTGCCGACACCACCCCTTCCGAGTCCAGTGTTGGGGCTGCCGAGGGCACGACCAGAAGACTCGGCGGACTCGTTGGGTGCGCCGAAGATAGACGGAGTAGCAGTGCGAGCAGACATCGTTGTTTGTGAGGAAGGAGTAATTTGTGGTTGGCTGGCCTTTTAACGGCTAGTACTGACTTGTCGTAATTCGCACGTCGAGGCCTGTACGTTAGCTTCTTGAAGGCAACACGAGGGCAGGAGAAGGAGAAAAAGCATCCGTCACTTGCGCGACGAGGGTACAAAGCGAGGCCTGGTCTTCCATTTTACGCCGCCTCACGGGAAGAAGTAAAAATTTTCGCAGACAACGGCAGAAACGAGGGAGGTCTCCAACTCGAGTAATGGATCCAGTACAAATATCCCTCTTCGTCGTCGGAGGTGGTGATCGTAACAGGCGAAGGTGGATGGTGGCTGTGTGGTATCGACTTTGACCTCTGACCACGATGACGACGGGGCGTCTATACGAAGACTACTGCTTCCATAACAGCCTTCTTCTTCGATAATGAGCAAGCAACGAAGAGATCCTGTCCGCTGACATGGAGCACTTGGCGGTAGACAATGTCGTTACCTTCTAGAGAGGTTCTTGGTGCGTAGCCAGAATATCTGCTGTTTCTTTTCTAATTCGAGTGTGCAGCTTCCAATATATTATCCGGCGAGTAACCAGGATCAAAGCGATTTACCCAGAATACAAGTCCTAGGGACATCGGTGTGTATCTTTTAGTTTTTGTGATTAGTCCCAGCTGGCTGATATTTTCGCTAGCATATCTCTGTGACGAACAAGATTCTTCATTACATCCCACTTGTGATGGTAGATATCGACGCGTGTCATGAGGAATTTGATGCTCAAACCATCTTCATCAATATTCCATCCCTCCGCTTTTTCCAATAATTCCCAAAGCCGTTCGATCATCATGCGCGGTGCTTCTTTATTGTTACGTTCAATTCTTCAATTCTGTCTATTTCCATCGGCGAGGAATGAAGCAAGAAGGAGAGGGTGCAACATCATATGGTACAATTGCGCTGCCAACATCGGTGATGCCTTTCCCAGCCCATATTGTCGCTTTACTTCCTCCCGCACCTGTTTCGCAACATTCTGGTTCTGCGTCACACCTAGCACCAACGAATGAGTGAATGTTGCGTACAGTGGAGAGTGAGGGAGAAGAAAAACAAGAGTTCTTTCCGCCATTTTCACCCTTCTCACTCACACCGCCTCGCAGACGGCCTCGAACATCGACTTCCTTGTTGCCAACGGGTTCGTCACCCAAGCAGAGGCTGCCGGTCTGCAGAGAAAACTATCGTTTCTCCAGGCCTTGACACCGGCTCCTGTCCGTTCTTCCCCGATTGTTAGGTCGCCCTCCCTGCTACCAGCACCAGCGGTCCATCTATGGGTATACAACCTCGACCCCGATGACCTCTCATTTGCAGCTGGGGACATCATCACCACACCTGCTTCTGTATGCTCGCCAGCGAGCCAAACAGACCTCGTTCATTATTCAGCGACTCCAGCTGTTCATGAAACTTTGCTAGTATCTCCTCATCTTCATAGTTTCTCCCATCCATTGGCTTGACGTGCAGCAGGCCATTGGGTGTATCTCCCTCGACGATCTTCTCATGGCCAGTTTCCTTCAGTGTGCATGCATGTTGATGCCATCGATGACTGGCCAAGTGGCTGGCTTTTAGTTATCAGCGTATCCATCCCATCTAGGTGAATCTGCACAAATTCTTGAATCATATGCTGATACTGACGTCGCTGTTGCTCAGAGGACCTTAGATACGAGTGAAAGCTCTTCAGCATCTCCCCCTTGGAGTTTTCCTTCCTTTCTATTCGCTTGACACGGTGCAGCGGTCCGTCAGGTGTATCCCTAGCTATGATCCTATCAGAGTCCCCGATCTCCTGTAATGTCTGGGCGCGCCTAAACCAACACCGATCACACTGCAAATCGCCCGTCTTTAAGCTCAGAGGACGAGTATTTTGTTGATCCACATCGCAGGCTGCTAAAGTGATTATCGACAGAACAAGTAGATATATAGGCCTGGAAGGCGTTACTTTCGAAGGCGGATATGCACTGGTGGTCTGAGAGCAAGCGTCGTGAACACTCCAGAATCATGTCGTAATCAGAAACCAGTCACCTCCAAGGAATCGAGTTGAAGAGCTGCAAATAGTCGCATATATGCAGCTACACTGAAACCCCATGTATGCTGTTTTGGGGAAATGACTGCTCCTGCAGTCGTGCGTGGACACAACTGAAGGCTTTGAACCAGGTATTGGAACACCGTAGGGCATGTTGGTGCCGTGAACGTGATAGATTACTATAACATGGTGTACGTAGCTTTCCGATTTTCCTTCAGTTTTGACTGACTCTGGTATGACAGGTCACTTGGGAGAAGGATTTTCTGAACTCAGAGGGCTAGATTGGGTGGTCAGGTTGGGAGGGGGACAAGATCTGGAAGAGACGACTTGATGATAGTTGGAGGGCAATGAGGAGAGCGAGCGAAGAGTGAGAAAAAATTGGTACAAGGATGTGACAGCATTATTAGCGACCAGAGCTGGCAGTCGTGGTCAGTTGCAGTTCTGTAATTGCCAGTAGAAGATAGTCGTACGCACCACATCCAGACTCGATAGAGGGCAAAGGTCCTCCAGATGCAGCCATCTCTTCTTGAGATTCGTTACCTCACTACGAATTGAATGGAGACCAATAATTCTTGTCAAGACCTTGTTGAATTTGGGAGGCGCAACTACCAGGATTTCCACAACACAAGTGTTTTATATCATGCAGCATTGGTGTTGAAGATGTTTTGATTCAATGGAAGGTAGTGATATTGTAGCAGTGATAATGAAGCCAAGGAAGGCGAAGGTACTAATAGAGAAGACGTAGTTTCGGTGTGAGCGGCAAAGACGGCAAGTGCCGTCGGCTATATTGGGCCCGAACAAACATTGCGACACAGAATGTTCATCGTGCCGGCAGTTTTATTTTGAACTCGTTTTCTTCCAGTGGGTCACCGACATTCAAGCCTTTACGCACTGCTGCCCTTCCTGTCACCATTCATTGCAACAAAGATACGGCCTTTCTCCTGTGCGCGCGCAGCACATCGAAGTCCAGGTTCTGAAGGGAAATTGGAAACGCACGCGGCTTTGGGTGAAGGTTATCAATATCTGGATAGGTATCCTTCTGAAGCCAAGTGAAGGTGTGTGTCGGATTTCCTTCCAAGCTACTTTAACTTGAACATCTATAGGGACAACGATAATCGAATATGGACTACCTGGGATATTTCAGCATTCAGTCACAGGCCAGGAGCTACAAGCACAAATTTCTGATTACGACCTTGGCCCACCCGTATGACATTCGGATATTACTCGACCTCTTCTCTTCTCTGCGACCTTGGATAGGAAGAAGACGTGAACAGTTCACCGCGTAGCCTCTCCCTCCTACATGTCGCATTTGTGGGGATAAATGAAGTTGGTAGTCGCATGGCGGCAGCTCCGAGGGATTTCACCAATGCCAGATGATAGTTTAGTCAGCTTTCTGGATATCTTATCGTCGTGAAGAAGGGTAAGGTCTATGTGCTTGTGAGACCGAGTCGACCCTCATATGAACCTTCCAGATGGATTCGCTCGAAATCAAACCAGTGAGCCCGCTCTTTCTCTTCGGCACACCCATCTTCTGAAACTTGGCAAGGTATCTTCGGCCCCAAGGAACTGTCTATTGTCTCCCTGTCAGCCAATACTTTCTGCTGCTTGCCAAAACGACATCCCGCTCTCTCTGTCGTTCCACGACGAACAGATCCTTTTCAAGTTATATATACCCTGGAAACTCCTGTCGGTGCTGTGACAGACGAGACATTGACCAATGTCGTCAAGAAAAGGACAAATAGACGCGACATGTCACGGACACGTGGACAGAATAACGGTCTCTCCGACTCACACACCTTTCGAGACCGCCATTCCCAGTCCGATCTACAGGATATAATGTCTCGTTTTTGGACCCCAACTACAATGGCATCTTTATTCTCGACTGGCGGCAGCGATACGACTGAGAGTACTAGCGAGAAAGTGTGTGGTTAACATGTTTAGGTTTGACTATCTTCTCAGCTCCAATTCAATCGTGCGATAGGCAGTTTGACATGGACATCGATACTGCGTCTAACGTTCCAGAGTGCATCCACAGCCATACCAGGCTATTCTCGTCGTCGGGCTAGAAACCGGTCTCTGTACTCAGCAATGAGCATACTATGTCTCGTATTCTCCCACCATCTTCTATTCAAACAGAGAGCTCACGGAGATAATAATCGCGTTACTTGTGGACAGTATCCTCTTCCCGTCAGCAGTGCTCGTTTTACATCTGACCATGCCATTTCTCACCGTCATGGGCACCATCATGGCTAATGACAAACGCTGAGGGTGCCATCCCTCACGAATGCAGATAAACCCATTCCCGGATGATCGCAAAGAAGGTCGAACAATACTACGTTCCCGAAGATTAGGATGTTGCTCTATGAGCTGTTTGATCTCGAGCTGCGCACTCGTCTACTCTTGTCGTGCGGCCAGTGATAGAGTGCAGCATTTGACATCGACGGAACTCGCATCGCAAGTATGAGAATGCAGCAAACGAGCCAGACGATGAATGGTGCCACTCGGACTGGTCTTTGTTGCGCGCCTAAGATCAGCCTCCCCTGTCTTTGTCCCTCTGCACGGACCTGCTTAAAAACAATCTGGACTATGATCGTCATCCGCTGCATCCATTCCCGCTCTCCTCTCGTCATGAACAGACCCGGCTATCCTCCCTCCCACCAATCTGGTCTGAGCCAACCTGTCCCTGCGAATTCTCCAGCGTTTGTCTCGACGTCTCTCACTTCGGTGCCAGCATACGGAGCAGTCACAAATGTCCAGACTCATTGCAGAATGCAAGATTTCAGTGGGATTCAAACACCTGCTCCATCTATGCCTCCCGAAACATCTTCGACCTCACGGTCGCCTTCAGGCTGGAGCGCACCATCGAGACAAACCAGCCACCCGTGCCGCTGTCGCCGCGGAAGGTGCAGGTGGCGATTATCCTACCCTATCCGAATGACGATCGCTGTCCATGAAGAATCGCCGTTCCAACCGCAATCGCAAGGATCTTGGTCAGTGCCTCTTCACCAAGTCCAAGCTAGAGCTCATCTTATTACAGCCTGCGTGCACGGAAACTCAGCATATATCAAAAAGAGACGTTCCTCGTGTCGTAGAACGGTCCCGAAGTGAGTTTCCTGAAAACGTTCGAGAGCCCGTTGTATCGGTTTAGCCGGAACGATGGGAAGCGGAGGCGACTTTTCCTCGGGTGTAAGCCCTGGGTTGATGCGGACAGGATCGAACGGGACAAGGTAGTGTGTTTGGGACAAGGGTGTGATGTCTCTCTTGGGAATGTTGAGTATAATCCAGGTAACTGGATGCGCCACCGAGATTGGTGTGTTGGTATCGACAACGCGATTTTGAGTTCCGTTCTGGGTGCTTGGGAAATTTGGACTGCGAATTCTTCTGTGGAGAGACCGTGATGCTCTCAGTCTAAATAATGTATATTTTTGACCGGCGGAGCTGTTATTGTTGACGAACAATGAACCGTCGCAGTGTATTACCTTGGCATCACTATGACCTCAAGATATCCGAGAAGTTAGTTTCCCACTCTGTCGTTATCTGCCGGTCTTCTTTGTTTCCTCGTAAATGTGGCGCTCAATCACTGGAAATATACTTCTGTGATGGCCCATGTATTTGATTTGACACATCGCTGGCAAGTAACGTGCGCCGGTTTTTGCCCAAGGACATTAACCACGAATATAACCAAGTTCACTCTCATAGGATCTCCTAACCTACCAGCATATGGTGCCTCCAAGTGGGCTATACGTGGGCTCACACAATGTGCCAGTGGGACCGCGCCTCCTTCAGGTGAACTTTGCATTTATTCTCAATTATACATGGTTAGCGCATGAAGTCGGTAAATACAGTATCACTGTTAATGCGTATGCTCCAGGTTTGTCTATAATGTTTCATGTATTGAATTGCTTTGATATTAATGCGTGGTTGGTCAAATGACAGCAATATTCACTGAATCCACGTCGAACCCCTCCTTCAGAAAGGGTAGAATGAATTCGGCAGCAGACGGTGCAAAGAACACGATCCGCCATGGCCCGTCGGTCTCTCCTTCAAACGTTGAGAGAATGTCGAGCTGGTAGCCTTCCCGACGACATAGAACGGACATTCTGTCGCTGAAATTGAGAACAAAATTCGAGAAAGTGAATGCGGCACGTACCGTTCTTGGCTGCACCATTTGCCTTGTGTCAGGCCTCACATGAGCGTGCGCTGGTCATGACAACTCCATCAAAATTGCCCTGTGCTGTTACGGATGTGAGTTCATTGATATTCGAGAACACGGTCTCGACCACTGGAATCAAGAAAGGCGTGTTGTTTGCTGCAGTAAAGATGGCTCCATTCCTGTCCTGGCCAGTGTCGGAGGATGGCGTAGGTTCGCGAAGGAGGAGAATGTTGGCCCTGGATGTCATCGCGGTCAGCGACACGAAGGGTAATGTGACCGTTGAAATTCAATGGCATGTTGTTCTTTTATCTTTCTCTAAGCTTTTGTTGAAGGTATTATTCAGAAGGTCGACCACCACTGGAAAGAGACCTTTGCAGGGCCCAGCGATTTGGATGTGGTTTGTATCATTAATGCAAATTTCGGTATTTCTTCCTGACGTCGGATTCACAAGAGTATAAAGGTGTGCAACCCATGATCCTTTGCGAAGGAGTGACAGGATCTCCATGTTGCAGATATCGGTATTCCTAGAGGCTGTAACATGCAGGATGATATAAATGTGCGAACAGACAAGATGGAGAAAATGAATCTTTGAAGAGTCTCCAGAGTGACTTGTACCAAATAATATTGGTGACGGGTACCACGAGGACACTAGAATACAAGAGTAAAGACAGGCGGCACAAAGAGGAAGAAGATGACAAAAGAGATCGACAGTGAAGAACGCCTCTAGTCGGAGTTGCTGTCAGATTCATCACATTTACACATGTAGGTAATTAAAGATATCACCATCTGCTCCTTTATCCCGTGCGATGCCCCGGTGATTTTTGGTTGACGGTATAAATGATCACTGAGCAGAAATAGGATCCTTGCAGCTTGCACATAAAGTAAGAGGTTGACTCGACACTGTAGTGCCATGCCTGCCACATCACGAGAGCGCACCCAAAAAGACTCGAACACATGGCATACTCGCAAAACTCCCCACGGCCCTTGGCCAATCGCAGAACCAACTCAATTAGCGCTGGACTTAGCCCAACCACGAGGAACAAAAACACTTACTGTAGATGATAAGTCCTCGCTCATATATGGGCTTACTGTGGAATGTCATTATTAGTGAGGGTTACAGTTCAGCAGCGATTATGGTTGAAGGCATCATCGACCAGTAATCGACGACTCATAATCGCAGAATCAACTCCGGAATCGGTTATTCAGTTGCGGTCGACGATGGTTATTCCCACGATTATCGCCCCATAATCGACCAATCTTGATCCTCCCTATTATTGGTTCTGACGGCGTCTAGCATGCTGTTTACGCGAATACTTTGCACAGCCCATAGATTTCAACCTCCGAGTTGCAACACCTGCAAATACACCTTGATTCCGCAATCCTTTGACTGTAATCTAGAAATTGAGAAATGGTACGTATTGTTAATCTATTTCGTTTCGAGTACTCAGTACGACGATATTAGTACCATCGATAACTATAGGCCTACTTTTCAGCGGCGTCAACAGGATTTGGAATCGCTTCTGCTCCGCTTCTTCGACTGCACGGACAATGACAGATCCATCTCCCGGTGTAATATCTGATTCTGACCAGAATGCCAACATAATTCCACCTTCAGAGTCTCAAGGGGCAATGCCTCATGGCAGTTCTACTGCAGAAGGTGACGGCCCTGTCTTGGAGGTAACGACACACTCGTCTCAGGCCCAGGAGGTAAGCCGGTTAGCAAACAAACAGAGAAGAGTTTGTTAACATATTTTCAGGACCTCACTTTCCCCTTAGTTACCATTTCTGCCTTCATTGAAACGGGCCAACAGGAGTCGTCGATCAAAGTTCCATTACAACGATCCTACACCGGTCGAAAGCCCGTAATATCATCCTCCCTTGCCGACACACCCTGCGCTACTCTCGGTATTCAGGGCATCTTGGATGAACTGAATGCCACACTCGGAACGTCATACACCCTGGACATACCGACTCTCTCTTCTGTTCTCGAAGACTGCGTCAAGAGTGACTATGACTTTGGCACGGCATATAGCCGTCTCCGCGCGGTATGGGGCATCAAACGCCGGAACACCATCCAAGATGAGATACGTACACGTGAAGCTCGGGACCAGGAGAAGCGACGAAAAGCACTTGTCGGTAACCGGATTGTCAACCCGAAATTGGAACCTCGACGGGTCTGGGATCTATACGCTAATCGGGTGGTGCCATGGTGGAGCAGCGACGCGTTTCTATGGACGGTCCCGCGGTCAAGTGGTACACGGATTGTTCTGCCGGTATCGCATGCGTGGATGGACGCGGAGGATCGCGTCGACGTCTGGACACCTATCAATGGGAAGGAATGGCCCGTACCCATCCCAAAAGATGCCAGCCTTGACAGAATCCGCATCGAGATGCTGAATCTGGGAGTGGAGTACACGTGGTTGGATGTCCTCTGTTTGAGACAGGAGGGTGGGCCAAGGGAGGACCTGCGCGCCAAAGAGTGGAAGATCGATGTGCCCACTATCGGATTTGTGTATGCGAACACCAAAGTCATGATCTACCTGGGTGGGCTGGGGCGGCCTTTTACTTTGAAGGACGGTGACTTGGACAGTGATCGCTGTTGGTTTAGACGCGCGTGGACACTACAGGAGATTGGCAAGGAGAGGATCATTGTCGGGGATACACCTGATGGACCGCTGCATGCGAAACCAATAGACAAGGATGGGAACTATGATACTGAGATACTGACAAGATTTCACAAGCAGCTGCGGTCCATCAGCGCTGTCAATCATCTGAGTTTGCAGCTGCCAGTCTCCCCCACGATATTTGAGGCCCTGTCACAGATGCAGAACCGGGTATCCACCAATCCTGTGGACAAAGTCGCGGGACTGGCATTCCCTCTGGACCCCATAACGATACCGGCATACCGAGAGAGCGAATCTCTCGAAGATGCATGGACGGAATTAGTGAATGCCATGTCTGTGCGGAATCGGGGTCGGCTGTTCATCTTGTATCCTGAACCAGGAGATACGGGCATGAAGTGGAGACCGTCATGGGAGCAGGTCATGAAGAAGCCTCTGCCTGTGGGCCAGTACTACTCCACGATGGAAGTTCATTGGGATAGGGAGATGAATGATAATTGGTTTGAAGGGTCCTGCATTGAAAAGGTATTTGTGCGAGGGTTGGCCGCGGGAAGTGCGGAAAAGGTTAAGCGACGTGGCAAGCTGATCATTAAAGATGCCAATGGCGCAGAACATACATTGGACATCATTGCACGCCACAAGTTCCCAATACCTGAGGACATGTACACATTGCTTGGTATGGATGGATTTGTTCTCCGACTGATTCTGAAACGATGTTGGGTTGTCGGGCGAAGACTATCTGACGAAAAGTTTGAGAAAGTGTCCGTGTTCGAAATCGCCAATGATAAAGAAGTACGGAGGCTGGAGCGTTTGGGTATTAAAAGGTGTCGGAATATTCTTATTTGAGGTGAGTACATATTTTCCGGCAGTTCTGGATCGCCGTTTCTCAACTCGGGTAGCCATCAGGCCTATTCAGAATTTACTGCACATATACGATGGTACATCCTGTCCATTGAGATACTCGCAAACATAATTAGCATTCTCCATCGTATGCATGCGTTTGCTGCACACCAATGAAAACTCATTTCGCTATTCTTCCTGCTCTTGTCAACTGATACGCAGAAAAAACATATTTGTGTTATAAATTGAGAAGGTGTATAGAAATTGGTGACGATAGTAAGACGCCAGGCTTATGGTGTTGATCCCTACCATCATAACAGCGACTCTCCCCCATCATTTCTTGGAGCCTCCTTCATCATGGTCCAACGTCAACCACTGTCTATGACCAGGTCAATGACTCCAAGACATTTCGTAAAATCAGGATTTTTTCGGCGACAAATATCGCCTGCTCGAAATATGACTGGGTACTGGTAGTGGACACAGTTTAAGCGTCGTGGCCTTGACAACTGACCGGTACTTCACCTGCTCAATTCCAGGTAGTAGCGACGCACCTGGTTTCTCCTACTCTCCTCGGAAATTAAAATGACAGACATAAGCCCGGAAGGAGGCAGCTTCTACCAATGGAAAGCTTACGCAAAATTGAGATGGAGAGACTCACAGAATTTGGGATTTGTATGAGCCGACTTTGGAATCTTCCCGGATTTTCTGCTTCAGGCTGTACTCAGGATGAAGTGCTATGTCAGCATCTATATTGTTCCCTTCTTGGTCTATTACTGACTAGGATGCAAGGCGTAGCCCCCATTTGTAGGGGATTTGATGGTATGACGCGCAGCTCAAACTATGAAGAACAGCCTGGTTTGCCCATGCGACTCTGAACAGGGCCCACAAGGACTTACCGCGTCCCGAGCGGCTGCATTCTCTGCCCATTGAGATCGGCAAGGCTGTTCATACCTACACGAGAAAGCGTCCCCTCGCTAATGCTCTTATTTGTAATCATACAAGTCATAACTCTCCTCGTCTCATCCATCTTCCAGACCTGGTATCGAAGTATTTTATATGCCGTGTCATTCCTGTGGAGGGACTGATTTTCTCATAGATGGCCCCCTTTGACTGGCTGCCTCAAGAGCTAATCGACTGCATCCTTGATTTCTTAGTCGACGACTCTCATTCTATGAAATTCTCCTCCTGCATCTGCCGTTCTTTTCTCCTCCGAGTCCGGTTCATTTGTTCCGTCAATTCCACCCCGATGATTATCGTTCCTTGGGCGAGGTTCACGAGATGTTCGGGAAGTCTCCCCAGATATCAGACCAAGTCAGAGTCTTACCCCTTCACAGTATTATGCTGATAAAATACGAAGCCTCTGCAGCTGAGCACCTTGCTCCTCTGATCTCCTCGGTCTCTTTCCTACAGGCAATCAGATTCGCCCACCTGAAATGGACAATGGTGCCACAGGCCTTACGAGACGTACTCCCTTCGCATGTTTTCCAAAGCATCACTCATCATTATGTCGATATAAACACATCCAACCAATGTTCCCTCATTTCTGGCTCTCACAACAGCCTTAAAAACCTCGAGGTAGGGGTAACACGAGGCAACATATCTTTCCAGCACATTATGGGATTCTCGTCACCACGCATAATGAATCTATCTCTAGGTACTATATGTGCCTCTACAATTATTTTTGCAGAACTCGTCCTCTTTTCTTTCATTTAGGCATCTTCACATTCTCGACATACGGTTCTCTGATTTTTTTCTCCATGTGCTGTCTCCACAAGCTGCACTTACCTGAGGGTATGTATGGCTATCGCTTATATATCATGTCTACTCAAAGTGACATGAGGTGACCTAGCGGAGTCGGACTACCTTCCCTCGCCTCAACATCTTCGAATCTCAGGACCACTATCCCTCACTGTACGACTACGGGACTGCTACTACGACAGTGACTGATATGTCCTAAAATGGTCCATGAAGAATACCAAGCAATGCTCGGTGATCAAGCGGGTCACCTTTCACCTGCCATTGTATGGCACTTCGAACTATTCCAGGGTCTGAAAGAGTTTGGATAACTACCTGTCTGAAGGGGATAATCCTTGTCTCAAAGCATTTGTACCCGACCTGAACGCGAAGTGGACCTCGGAAAGAGTCGCTGGAATGGCCAAGTTGGCCATGGAGAGCCGATTTATGGATAAATGAGTGGTTTCAGGTCTGTCTTATGTCGTGTTTTGGATTCCGCTGGTGTACCGATGCTGGCTTTCACAGATGTAAATGCATGCGGGCTCTTCTCACAGGCATAGGTCATTGATTGGAGGATTAATCATAGTACTCAATTTACAATCTGTGTTCAATCAAAGAATGTTCATTTTACTCGAAAAGGCCAGGAGCCACCATTGGCAGTGATGTGCATCGCAAAAATTGAAAAGAGCTATGAACACATGTCTCCTGTTTTTGCTCGCATGTGCTTGCCTTGCTTTAAATAATTACTGAAGATGGGATCGTAAACCCTTAATGAGTCGCAACTGCTGGGACTCGCCTCTATTCATCATAGAGTAGACAGTCCAACACAACTAAGCCGAGAACTGCGAGTGTCTTGGGCGTGTTTCCTGTTCCGAAAAGAATATACTCCCCCATGGCAACACTTGAACACTGGCGGCGAGGCAAATTAGTGAATTCTCCTCAGACATTCTAGGTTCGGATTACCTCGCTCTGAGTTTTTCAATACCAGTTTCTCACCCCTTGTCGATTCGACATCAGCGTCCTGACATCCTCGATCAGTGGGAATAAGCGTTTAAATGCCCTCCGTCTCCGTCTCCGGACTCGGGAAAATTTCCTATGCGGACTCAGCACATATCAAGGTGTAACGTGTGCTTTTCGCTTACCTGTATTTCATCCCTACATTCCACATACCGAGCCACACTGAGGAATCCCGTGTTGTCTGTCTTGTTAAACCACGGCCGGAATCCCACTTCTTCGGTGCAGAAAAATGTCTCGAAGCAAAGTGACCAGGAGCCCCGAGTCAACGTTAGTGGCAAAATTGAATTCGTAGCCACCACACTTACACCTAGTAGTCAATCTGAGTTGGGCTGTCTCGAGTGCAGTCAGATTGGATCCTGTGCGAGGAAAGCCTGTACACGTAACTCGAGTTCGAGGTCAGGGAAAGTCGACATGTGATAACATACAGATCGTGATTTGTCGTTTCCAGTGGTTCGAAGCCGATGAAAGACGGCAGAGAAACAGCCTTCACATCCACATGCTCGACCATTAGCTCCGGCCGATCGCGAAGCCGCCACATAAAACTGTCTTCATCGTAAACGTCGAGTTGTTCTGTCGCCATTGAATAGAGAGAAGGATTATTGTCCGAGAGTCACGGTGCTCACTGGTTGGAAAGCTGAAGGCAGGCCAAGACGTCGTATCGGCGCCTGGATGAAATCGTGATATCCTTCCACCATCAAGGAGAACGATGTCCGCGCTACCGTGCGCCAGCCATTACATTTACAAGAAGGCACAGTTTGAAAAAGAACTGTACGGATAGACGGCAGCCATTCATAAAAGCAGCATTTGCTGAACTTCTGTTAGATCCTTCTCAAAGTCCCACTCATCTCGGAATTCTTCGATTTGCGATCATAAGTATAGAACGCCGTCTCTTAGAGGTAGGTACGTGACGACGACGTGAGTGGGGAACGAACATCCTAGACGAATATTCGATGCTGCCAGACCTAACTGAGATTAGAACGGAACTTTGGATGTTGAACTTATTTAAGGCGCATCCAAGTCGCCTCAGCAATGGCTCCGAGCACATGCTCTCTCCCATTTGGTCAGCCCATCCCTTGTATTCCACGACGAGAATGACGGGCATTATGCACGATCCTCAGCTCGAATTCGAAAGAAGATATGTTCAGACCATCCTCTTCCGTGTCAAAGGCGAATCCATCCAGTAGTGGCTTAGTATAAGTCTAACGGCCTTCACTTCGTTGATCAGAAGTGCGATGGAGACAGAGCTAACACTCACCAATTAACCAAGTTGAGTTTAATGTCCCCCGTTCCGATATTTGACAGAACACTGAATGATACCTACAAGCTTCAGGCAGGTACAGAATCTCCATGGCTTTCCATGGTAGTTGGTTATCTCGCGTGTTGAGCCGAGGCCTACATACACTTCAAGCGACAGTCTGCCAGCTCAAGGAGGGCAGAATCTGTCGTAGTCCTTCCACAACGCTATCGTGGCAACAGACTCATGTCAAAGCAAGAAGATGGCATTGCCGGTCTCTGGCAGGAACATTTGTGCCAAATATGGTACGATATGCTCTTTGCACGGTTTCAGTGATCGCATTGAATGAACGGTGATGGCGAACAAAGGGGCCCTAACAGGAACTTGGGCACACATCACTAAAAGGGACGATGCGCAAGGTGTTTTCGCCTGCCGTCATTGTATCAGGATGAAGGTCTCAGAGTGCCTTCGACCTTACGGGCCATCTTCGTACGCACCGATAGCTCGTTGGCGAAGGAAAAAAAAAAAAAATTTATGCTGGAAGAGTCGATGTTGGTGAGACGCAAGGCGAGTACGTACGTCCTTATTGAGCGCCTGGTCGATCAGCTTGGGCGGCGCATCGAGGAAATCAATCTTCCTCCATCGATTCCGTCCGTTAGACTGTTGTCCGAACCTGATATGAGGTTTTGGTTGTCCCGGCGGTCACGATCCACTTCATGGCTGTTTCGCGTCTGCAATGTCGACTTCTTCGCGACCATCCGAGTCCAGAACCATTTTTTATGTTCGAGGATAGTCTGAAGTACACACACACAAATCTGATGGAGCAAAAAAGAAAGTCTTCGTTCAATGCGAATATGGTATAGAGTCAATAAAATAAATAATACGGTGCAGCACAAATAAAATACCGTCTCTCTAATTAGAATATCGATCTAACAAGGCCGCCGCCGATAGCAGCCCCAGCACCGAGCCCTACACCTCCAGCCGCAGAGTGGGCCATCTAGACAACACATAAGAAACCGCCGCCTCTAAAAAGAAAGACCCAACGCACCGTATTACCGTACTTGCCAAACTTGCTCTTCTTCCCATCTTGACCCGCGTCCTGCTGAAGGCCAACGGAGTTCGTACCTGCCCCAGGAGGCGGAGGCGCGTTGGCACTTGAATGAGTAGCCATGAACGGCTTGTACTCTTTCTTCTCTGTGGGAGCTGGAGGTACCGATCGAACACCGGTCGGTGGGGTGAACGCCGGAGGCAGGGTCCGGGGGACAGGCGCAGGCGTAGGTGCTGGTGCAATCTTCTCAACATAGTTAGCTGGGAAGAGAGCCCTACGACCGCCATACTCCCCGGGCCGCCATACTCCCCGAGCCACCAGTCGGCGTTGGTCTCTTCGACGATGGTGATGATGTTCCCAGCTGTAAATGAGAGGTCGTCGCGGTCAGAGGCGTCGAGGTCGTATGCCCACAAGGCTTTGGCTTGCACGACCGCTGGTGCCCCTGGTGCTGGTGCTAGTGGGGGGCAGGGAGGGCGACCTAAAGGGGGTCGAGCGAACAGGCGCCGGTGTCGAGGTCGTCGTTGATTGGAGAGAGGATAGTTTTCTCTGCAGACCGGCAGCCTCTCCTTGGGTGACGTACCCGTTGGTGACAAGGAAGTCGATGTTTGAGGTCGTCTGCGAGGCGGTGTGAGTGAGAGAGGCGAAAATGGCGGAAAGAACTCTTGTTTTCCTTCTCCCTCACTCTCTACCGCACGCAAAATTCACTCATTCGTTGGTGCTAGGTGTGACGTAGAACCGGAATGTTGCGAAACAGGTGCGGGAGGAAGTAAGGCGACAATATGGGCTGCGAGAGGCATCACCGATGTTGGCAGCGCAATTATACCATATGATGTTGCACCCTCTCTTTCTTGCTTCATTCTTCGCCGATGGAGATAGACAGAATTGAAGAATTGAACAGAACACTAAAGAAGCACCGCGCATGATGGTCGAATGGCTTTGGGAATCATTGGAAAAAGCGGAGGGATGGAACATTGATGAAGATGGTTTGGGCATCAAATACCTCATGACACACGTCGATATCTACCATCACGAGTGGGAAGCGTAGATCCCTGATGACGCCAACTCGGCAGGAGCGTGAAATGCCACATATATCCATCCAGTCGCGATTGTGGATAAGGTGGACAAATGTTGGAAGGCCACCAAGATTCACGACCTCGGTAAGAGTATCTTCTGTCATTGCTCACTGTATTTTTTTTCTCATGTCGAGCGCAGGTAACTGAGGATCACTCGCATCATCATTGAACAAATTTGCACGTTACATGGTGTCATGGGGAATGATACGCAAGCCAGTTGGATACAGAGCAACATACAGGATTCAGTTCAGTCTGTCAAAGAACAGACCGCATAGAAGGCCCCATTCCAAAGGCGATGCAGTTGGTTTTCTTAATTATCAGCTTAGTTCCATCGATACTAATCGCAGCGCCAGCCAATCACGTCTAAACCCTCCCATAACGTCAAATCATTCATGAGAATGACCGCGTTAAGGGTGACAAAATATGGAATAGTCAAACCGTGAATTTTACGTTCATGGGATGTATCCGCAGCCCCAAGGTCGCGCCTTGTAGTGCGCCAAAAATGTCCATCTCCAGGTACGCTAGTTTTGTATTTGCGTATCAGTTATCTTGATAATCGCATCTCTGATGGCAGCTAGTAGTCCTCATTATCATCGTCAAAAATGGTGACGGTGATGGCACATCGAGCTTCATTCACGCAGTTTTCAGCCGAGGGTTTCGGATACCGAAAATTTGACCTCGTCAACGCCTTTCAATGATAATCGGCTTCTAGACTGTAGAACGTATCGTTCTGAAGGGTGCTACTCGTGATTTCAGGGAGATTGATCCGTGCCCAAGATACTTAGTTGTCAGTCAGCAATGTTACGTTGTTCCGATGCTTTGCTAACTCATTGCCGTGAACGCAGTTTGGTACTAAGAGTCTTCGTAAATCGAATTGATGCCAGCGGACTGCGGATACGAGTGATGGATGGACGATATGGTTCAACTTAAGCGCCAGCGTAAACTTCCCTGCTTTGAGCGGTCCTGCAGGGGCGTTCATGGAGCTGACAGCTGCATTGAGGGGTAATTTCAGTGACAATGAACTATTTAGGTCTAAGAAAGTGACGCGCGTTTGTAGCACCTAATAGAGTATGCTGTTAGCTATAACGTAGACCTCACACAGCGTAGCGATAAGCAGAAACGCGGTG